ACCACTAAACGGCCTACTACGTGGTGCACCTTAATTACTCGCAGCATTCTCATTTATACTAGATAATTGGAAAATAATTTTGTAGATGCGTTTTTTTGCGCAAATATCTGGATTTTATTAAATATTATTATTAGTAAGAGGTTTCGTAAAGTTACCCTTTATAAATATTATTACAAATTACTCTAATTCTACTTAATATAATTTATACTGTATTGTATACACTATCTATTGAATTCGTATAAAAAATACAATGTTTTATAAATTATTGAACCGCCAGTCACTCTGTGTTTGTGCTGCGGAGCTTTGTTGCTACCATCTTTCTTATGACAAGTGAAGTATGTTGTGATAAAAACAAATACAAATCATCTTGTAACTCAGCAAATACTGACAGTTTTCCAAGAACACGAATGAATAATATTATATATCTTGTGGCTAGAGGGTGTGCCATAATCAGATTGCGGCAGTCATAGAGCTTCACTGGGCCGACTTTGGCCGCTCCCAGCATATAAATTGGTTCAATGAAATGAACTTTCACGGTCTAATTCATTAACCTTAATAAAATGACCAAACCGAGACTACTTGGACTCATCTATTACCGTAATGTTTCATTTATTGACACAGAATGACAACAAAATTTGTTACCAAGAAGAAAACATTATACCGAACCGATGAGCAATGATCGCTATTCCCATTGTAGAATATCAGTACTTGTTAAAAGCAACCATTACGACGACTTTTAAAAATATCCGTCAATTAAGCTCACCTTATTATTTCATTTTGTGTGTCGACCCGGCACGCCGCATGTCGTTGCCGGCGATGTCACAAAGGGTTGTTTTCACATATCGAGGCGGTGAACTCGCGACGAGATCACTCACTGTGAACCGATGGTTGATAAACTCAATCAACAGCGGTGGTGCGCGCGTGTTGTCGCGACAGTTCGTGCGATGCGGCGTACGACGTGTAGCGCGGAGTGCGGCGAGGTCTCAAGCGGAGTGTCTCGCGACATACAACTCTCGGTCGAATGGCACGGCGCGACTGCGCGGCTGGAGCGGTTCCTGTCGCCACCGCTCGATACGCTGGCCATGAAATTTTCAGCCGCTGTCAACCGGTGGCGGCACGCAGGTGGCGCGCGCTGCGCTGCTTACCTGTCACTACAAGCTACAAGACCGCGTGTACTGCCAAAATCGCCATTCACAACCAGTTGTTCAGGTTCACTGCTTGCCAATTCTTTTTTGTGCTTCTTTTTAATACCACTTATTCGAAAAAATTATATCGAAATAAGCAACATCCTATTTCTAAAAATTCTCTCCCCAAAGATGAACTTATAAAATATTGTATATAAAAAATCACTGTTACCCCCAGAATTTTATTCAATATTTTCTTTAGAAAAAATTGATAAAAACCTTCTTCGCCAAATAAGTCAGCTGTTAAGTCGTTTAACATGTTTACAATTTGTCATCTGGTTCTCCACTACCTCTATGATATTAATTTATATATTGTAGCTATTTGTTCACTTCTTTATACCTTCTTTATATTAGTATTTAATGAGTTTTAGAGGCGTTTGTTTATATGTTTTTTATTCAACAACAGTGTTAAATTTCATTTACCAAAAGCACGCCTAAAGTTGTAAGTAAGTTTTTTCTAATCTAAATTTCTACTTGTCTTTTTTACTCAGGAAGTACAGACAGCAAAAGTTCTTTTGATACTGCCATCTTACGGCTGTGACTATCAACTTGGTATCCAAGCTCGGTCTAGAGCGTGAGAATTCAAGACTTGCTTTTGTAGCTGCTTTTGGTCAGTTCAATATGTAGTTGACAAGAAGCATAGAAAGTCAAAATATATAAACTTGTTTTAGTATCTATAGTCCGATTTTTAATTAGATGGACTAAAATGATAGATAAATTAACCAATTTTTTCTTTTAATATTGAAACATAGCTCTGTAAAATGACTGGAATTCATATATCACTTCCTATCACTCAGGCCACAACTTTTTTTGCGATAAAGTAACAATTAACCAATCGTAATTTTAATATAATTAATTAAAAAGCAGATTATAGGTGATGGTATTCTATAGTATTTTGCGTGTACAGTCAACAGCATATATGGTTATACAAACGTGTCAAATTTCTCTACTCATTTTCTAGAGACGTCAAAAGCCATTACGAAAACTTGAAATATTATGGTATATTATGGTGACGTAGAGCTGTATGTACTGATTTTTATTATTTAATTTCTACAAATAATCATTGCCAAACCAATATAACTGGAAGAAGACACAAATCAAAATTATTTATTCGGTCTAGGCTGTTAAAAGCACTTATGAAAGTCGAATCTCTATGCCATCGGTTCGTGTAAATCTAAGAGAAGAACAAGCAAGAAATTCAACGAGGCTGCTTTTTTCTATTATATAAGCAACATCATAAAAATTATTACTACATTTGACTTTTGAGTTTTAATTAAGGCTGTGCCTAAAGAAAGTAGAGATAACGAGACGAAATCAATATACCTTTAAATATATAGATAAAGACAGCGAATGATGTAAAAACATATTTTTATTAAATACCTGCAACAATTACAATTCTCTGTTAAGTCCTCGGCTACAAAAAGAATCACATCACATTTATTAATTTTCCATATAATAAAAAAATGACTAGCGAATTTTAGAGATCTCTTTGAATGAAAATGGTAATTTATATTTGGTGCTTAGAAGGCACGCTAAGCCACTGTTTCAGGTTTCACCTGTAATCGTTAATATACGCGTCATTAGTTATGGCCCATTCTCTCTTTTCTATTTCATTCCTAGGTCTGCTAGGGAAGCATTGAGAACATTTATTGGCCAATGGTGATGATTAAGATGTATAAACACTGGCCGTCATATTATGGGATAAACTTACACAACAAAAAATGTAAGTATATATTATAAATCTGTATGATTATCAGTGGTCGGAATTAGGTAGAGTTATTCATGTACTTACACTGATTTCATACAGCGAAAGAATAAAGTGGATATGCCTCAAATCCCGAGATTAATTTTAAAGAGCAGAAAAAATCCGGTGATTTTTTAAATAAAAAGTTATTTACTTTTACACAATTTAAACTACTGCACGCACGACGTTGCCAAACTTACATCAATGACATCGGATGTCCAAAGTTGCAAAATACCAATACGCGCGATGTTGCCACATTTGTAGTTCGCACAACATAGCTTGTGAGAACAAAAGAATACAATAGCGCAAATGCGGAGTACTCCCCACTTAACGTAATGTACTAGATTGTGTCTCTTTCTACCGCATTCAAACTATCTAAATCCCGGGAAGGTCCACATTAATATCAACATTTCGATGCAAGTACATAAATAACTCTACCTAATTCCGACCTCTGATGATTATGTATTACAAATCTATTTGTAGGAAATAAAACAATAAAATTAGACATTATTTTTATTACACAGTTATAAACTCGTTAAACAGACGTTGGTGGAAAACTACAAAATTAAAAATTTATCAGACATATTAATATATTTACAGTACAAAATATTCATGCTTCGCACAGGTAACGTAACACAAAACATATGTGTAAGATATTTTTATAAGTTTTAGAATATTTAATTCGAGGCATACTTTTATTGTTTCTTTTAAACTATCGTCATGCTTTGATTAATGGTAAAGCGAAACAAAAATTAGTATATTGTTGCTTGTATTGAATAGATATTATTTTGTATATAATTTTGATGAAATTTTTCTAATGTAGGTACACAATTTTACTATAGATTCTTACTTAGACAGTCCGTAATAATAAATAGAATTAAGATAATATCATATTAATATCTGGTATTCGTCATGGCGACACCTAACTTAAGTCTTTCTATAAGATCAAGATAAAAAAAGAGAAAAAAACAATCAACAATATATCATGCAATATTATGACAAATACAATATTTTAAATATGTCCAAGCTTTAGCTGAAACACATATTTTAAGAAATTTATGAAAATTACACTTTTCTTCTACTTTGCTCAATAAAATTATAAATTCACTGGTATCTGTAAGAATTCCACAAATAATAAAACCGCGGACTAACTAGCCCATGATGAACACAGAAAATCATTATGTTTACATAGGTAATAACTAAATAGTAAATAAATAAATATTAGAAAAAAATATCTCAAATTTAATAGAAAGTAGCTAAAGTATCGTGTGTAATAGATATAGAAACAATATACGGGACACAACCTCGCAGAAGGAGTACTTTTTTTCTTCAGCTTCAGAGATGTAACCAATACCCACAGAGACAAATATTCAAAATTACACTCGGCAACAATATCAATACACTACATCTGCCATTAAGTTTCACTTGTTTGTATTATATAAACTACACAATAATATATTGTACACAACTTTATAAAACACGTATAAATTATTAATATAGGTACACAATACTGAAATTCGGTTTTCTGAAAATCTCAACCTACATACATTTTATATATTAAAGCTTCTTCCTTTTCTATAAGAATGTGTAAAAGAGAGACAGCACCTTAATGTTTATACATAACAATCTGCCTTTGGCTCAGTATTTTATTATTTTTGTAAATTCCATTGAGATTCTTATTTACACATTATACTTTATATACAGATATTAAGACACATTTACACAAAAATTCTAATTATGGTTAAATTATGCTAAATCGTGGCGCTAATCGAGGGCATAAGTATTTATTTACTAAAGCAAATAAATTACACCTAACGCAAGATTGAATATATACACTATGAACACAGACACGGATTAGTCCTTACTCCTTACCCACATAGAGTTAACAAAGTCACATAAACAAAAGGAACTGGGAATTCGAAGCTATGAGCCCTGACACGTTGTCATTAGAATTTGTTGTTACAGTTTTTCATGGAGGTAGTATGCTTTCAGTTCTTAATTTTATAAACCGAATGAAAGAAACGTACATGTATTCAAATTTTAAAAATCGAACTACTCTTTTTATTTTTGTTAAAACATATAATAAGGAGACATATCAGTTAACTTTATAATATATCCCTGAAGATAACTGATCACAATGTTTATAATAGAAGCTCAGTTCAATGACACACGATGTCGGTACTCGAGGCAGTACTAGATCACAAAGGATGACCCCAATGTAGTTCGCACTGGTTTACTGGGTGTCGTGTCAGGTGCGACGCGCTCGCGCTTTACCATTTATGGGCAATTCAGGTGCAGTCGTCTTGCGCGGCCGCAAGATGAAGTTCAAGTTGTAAGCAGTGTTCACCGCGTAATATACGTTGGCATTCGAGGGAAGTAACATTTCTGTGAAAAAACAAATTAAATATTAATTTATTTATTATTAACTTTTCAAACAACAGCTAACAAGATTACTACGAAATATTATAGTATTCTTAATGAAAAATGCTTAAAAATCCACTTTGTCCCTGGCAATCTGAGATGGGATTCGAACCCACGACCTTTCGCAATCTGAATGACTGCTCTAACAACTGAGCTACCCAGGACCTAACAGGACTGACTAATTTTTCAAGCACTTGTTACTTTTTCGCTACTTCAGACCGTCATCAATATTCAAGCAATCCACCCAAACAGCCGAAAGAAATAATGTTTATTTTATTAATGGAGTATATTATGGTAATTCACTTTCATCTGTTTAGAATTTAGATCATCATTTACCACGTAATATGTTTTAGTACGTATGTACCTAACTGTAAGCTTTAAAATCGAAAAGAAAATTTTGACTTTTTATTTTATCATGACCTAATGTCGACATAATAATTTTAATAGTTTGTTACGAGTTATTCTAAAATACTTATTAACAATTACCTCTGTCAGGCAAAACTTGCGCCAAGGTGTAGGCATCTGGATCGCCGTCGAGATTGAGCTTGAGCATAGCATTGCGGATTACTTGAGGCGTTCGCTCATTGTTACTCAACATGATCGACTTGTATAACACCACTCCCTCAGTTTCGGCACAATCCGATTCATAAGTTACTCGGATTATATAAAAGTCCGGTCCACTCCGTGAGTTCACGTGAGCAGGACTGTTCCCACCAATCTTCCCGTTCGCTTGCTTCTGCCCGCTATTGGCACTTGAAAGAGAAACATCTAAAGAGGGTATCGATGACGACGAAGAACCGTGCGATAGTCTAGTTGGCGACGACCGCCTCTCCAAACTGTCCCTTTTATAAGCGTTAGTCACACCGTCCGTTTCACAATAAAATTGGGAACTATTACTCGAACTCGTGCTTGCGATCGAATCGTTTTTCCTATGCCCTTGATTGTTCGTGTCATTCATCTTTTTCGGTCGTCTATCTTTTGGTGGATTCGATGGTGGCTCTATCTGACAAGACAGGTGGTAAGCTTCACGGTCGTCGAGTATTATAACAGAATCGAACCATCTATCGAACATGGGATCTGTTGGCAGATGATAAGCGTTTGCGGCACCCTGGAGAAGTTTGATTTGAGCGAGCACCTCGAACTCTTTTCTTCTTTTATCGAAATTGATCAATCCATCCGATACAGTATCAGGTATGGCGGTGTCGATCATAGTGAGATCCGTCAGAAACGTGCCCAAATAAGGTATAGTCCCGTGACTCACTCCAGGCGATCCCCTCTCGTGTAACAATTTCTGCAGCTGCCTATCGTTTTCGCCCACCGTATCAGCAAACTTGGCGGTACCCTCTCGCATCAACAACTCCCTCTGAGCCCAACGATTGTTATCTTCGCTAAATATTCGAGCGAGTTCATCGAATAATTCTGATTTTTCTTTAGCCAAGAGGGCCCACGTCTTTCTCAGCCTGTACACGGGATTACTCTGCAGACCGGAGATGATCGCTTTCAGGGAGGAAAAATTTTTAAGCACCCTCAACTCACGAGCGATATCCAACCAGGAGGCCAGAATATCAGCTCGTTCGATAGGTCTCAGATCGGGTTCGACGAGAACGGTCGAGATCACTCTAAACGAGACTGCATTGAATTGATTGACCGTGGCGAGGACGGTGGCCGCGTCGTGTGATCGATCCTTGTCCCGTCTGGACCAAACGGCACCGAGGCACTGATGAGGCACGAGCTTCTTGAAGAGCTCCATGTCCATCCTAGTGAGTTGCTCGGCGAAGTGTCGGTGCGGCACGTGCGGCAGCCGGTACGCGCTCGTGTGGTGCGCCGACACCCGCATGCCCGGCGCCAGGCACACGCCGCCGCCACCGATGCCAGATACACCATTACGTTCCGCACTAAATATGGCTAACTTCTGTAATACCTGAAAAGTCAAGAAATAACATTATTACTATTATACTACATAAATGTTATTTAAACATGGGCCCTGGCAGGTGAGTTTCGGAGTGCTTCAATGGTTTATATCAATCTACATCAGCTAAATATAACATAATTCAAAAACATTCAATATGTATAAGAGTAGGCATAAGTCTACTTTTACTGGAAAAAGAAATAAGAAAGTTATAATTCACCATTTAGAAGCTCGGCAAGGTGATTTTTTTTTTCTAAAAATAAATACGTGATCATTATAGCAGTGTAAATGCAAAATTGATCAAACCGAGTTAAACTAACATCAAATGTGGCCTATTCTAATGACCCAACTGTAATAATAACAAAAGATTTTCATCGAAATCAACACTCTGAATAATATTCGTATGAATACTTATTTCAGATATTTAGGTAAATTGCCTGACCATTAATGAGAATATGCACCTAAGTAGCATAAATAACAAGTACTTATGAAATTCGTCAGTCTCTTTAAGTCTCGAACAACTTAATTTGTTAGAGCAGTCGCACGAATCGCAAAAATCGAATCCCATTTCGGGCAACTAAGACATGTGAATTATTTACGAATTTTTCTTTAATGCAATTATTTTTTACATAACGATCCGAATACTTCAATTTGAAAATTGCCTAAAATACAAAGATATCATCATCATCAGCCCTTTTACGTCCCCATTGCAGGGCTCAGGCCTTCCTTATGAATGGTTAAGGAGGATGGGCCATGACCCTCCCCGCAGGCCAAATGCGGATTGGAGGATATTAACGACTGCAAATGCAGCCGGGACCAACGGCTTAACGTGCCTTCCGAAGCAGCTCGAGATAATAATTTTTTGGTCACCCATCCCGTGACCGATGCTTACGAAAGTTGCTTAACGACAACGATCGCGGGCCGCGGCGCTTATCCACTACGCCACCGAGCTACTTACCGAGCTACATACAAAGTTATAACTATTTATAATGTAAATTGACTTTGCGAACCTTCGAATGAAGCTCTGAACCTGGCAAGTGGAGCTGAGTGAAGGCGAGTAGCTGCTGCAGTGCGGGGTGATGCGGGGGTTGTCGAAAGTCCTCAGGGTAGGTGTCCAACCAAACGTGAAGACATGCCACCAGAGTCCTGTCAACATTATGAAAAATACAGATTAGACCACGTGACATAGATATCGCTCCGAACTCCTAATTCTCGCCATCCTCTGTCTGTCACTATAATCTTGTTGCTAGATGCAATGAGATAGACAGTGACAGTCCTTTGGCTTTACGCCCCCTCTTAAAGTAACTAGCGCGGGATAAATGACACCATTCTTCATACATGTCAGTGTTGAGACATACGTATTAATAACTTTATAAACTAGGGAATTGTGTTTCTTTAGTTAGATTTCACGCATGAGTTTTCACATAGAATGAAAAGCATCTTGTTTTACATTTAGTCGAGGGTTAATTAATTTTCAATATTTTTTCTACCTACCCTATTCCTGGATAGGAATAAAACCCTACACTGATTCATATTTTGTTACTTCGTCAACAGCTCTCGCGCTGTGAGAACTGAAAAGCAGCAGACACTGTTTCACGTAGTATCAAAGTCATCATCCAAAAAATAGTGATGCTTCATACTCGTGTCGTCAACTGAAATTGTTGAGGAAGATGAGATACAGAAAAGGACTGTTCTCTAGAGCTCAACACATCATCAGCAACCATCGCCATACACATCCAGTCTATCATTTCATTTTCCCCATCAAACTGAATAACCATGTTTTTCATAATTTTAGCTGTCAAAATGAAATTTCGATTTATGTTGGGTCAAATGTATCTTAAAAATCTTAACTTTACTTAAGTGTGTAATAAAACTAATTAATTAGAAAACGACATAATCTTATCCACTTTAAAATTAAATGTAGTATACCTATCAATTATTTGCAAAACAGATTTTGAAAATATTTTCGACAGCAGTCTGTTAAAAGTAACTTGTGAAAATGGCGGTGTTCCATACTGTTATCTAGATAAATCTATTTTTTTTTTACAAGTGCCATCTGTTGATATATAGGTCATTGAAATGTATTCTAAAAAAAAACAATATCACTTATTCTTAAAACAAAGCAGTGACAAGTTATTTCAATGAGTTACATTTGCCCCATGGCTACAATTTCCCCAGGTGACCTTACGTTATTTATGAGTTATTTGAATTAAGTTTACATACTTTCGATGTTGCTGTGACGTGTCGACAGCTGCTGGTACTACGTCTTCCGCAGCGAGGGCTTCATATCTGCGAAGCAGTAGGTCCAAAACTCGGCCACATTCCGCAAACGAACTGTAATGAAAACGAGACATTAAGGTTAATAACAAGGAAATCTATGTCTCGGTTTATCAGTTTTAGTATAATACTCACTTGTAACAAACTGTAGGAAAATATAAAATAGTGTGATTAACCATTAGATTTGAATATTTTCGTCATTGCAAAATTCATTTAAAATTAAAATAAGGAGCTCTATGGCGGACGGGTTAGTACGTTCGGTCTGCGTCGCAGAAGCTAAACAACTATCACAAGGACCGATGGTTGAGCAAATTTTATCATCTTGATCTTATCCGTATTTCGGAAGGCACTTTAAGCCGTTGATCTTGGATCTGCAGTTTTTAACACCCACCAATCCACACTAGACCCGTGATTCATGACCCCTTCTCCATATTCGATTCAATTCTTCCATCATTCCATGTATAGGGAAGCCCTGTGCTTCAGTTGTGGGAATATCAATAGGCTGGTAATAATATTCAATATTTCTAAATGAGCTTGCAGATACTTAAATAAAGCTTTAGCCATAATTCTAGCCTATAACGAAGTTGCAACAGGAAGATAACGAATGAAGAATTGCTTTCATCGACCTTCATTTGTTATTTTTTAATTCATACTATAATGCATACATACAAACAGTGAATTGTTTTGTTTTTGAGTTTGTGGGGGACGACATATCCTTTTCGTGTCTTTTTTTTTTAATTTCTTTTAGGTTACTTTAATGAAGGATCTCAAAAATAACTTAATGAAATAATGTCAATTACATCTCTTGTGACGGACAAATAAAGGGACTTGTTGTGAGAATTTACTTCTTTAAGTCAAATACCCTTTTTTATTTTTTGATGACACAGTTATAACCCTACTCTATTACATGTGAAACTATTGCCCTAAAGTTTAAAGAAAAAATACAGGTAAGTTTTTAATTTTTATTTATACTGAACCCTATATTCACGTTACTTATTCGCACTTCACAAACCGGTTTTTTGGGCAATTATTATTGATCGATTACAAGAAGTAAGTAAATGAATGCCTAAATAATAAAAAATATAATTACTATCTCACAGTACATACATTATTTCTTAATTTAATTTTTTGTCCACAATCAACTACAATTTACATAGTAATGAGAAAAAGGATAATATAAATTTAATGAGGGACTAAACCAACACCAAATAATTATCTTCATACCTAAACAATTATCACCAAATATTATTTCTTTTACCTTAAATAAAAAGGACATAATGACAAAAATGAATGAAAAAGTTTAAGGGGCATGTTTGTTTTCTGTTGAGAAAATTTAATAAATCCGTATAATTAGCGTGCTCGATCTGCGACACAGTTATAAAGCAACTTTCGCAAGGGCCGAACATAGGATAGGTACCAAAAATTAATTTATATCGAGCTCCTCCGTGCTTCGGAATTCACTGCCCTTGTCCACACATTGTCCTTATTCGATTTAATTCTATTCCATCCATTGGAAAGACCTAAGCCCCAGGAGTACGTAATTAATAGTAATTAATAGGTTGAATATGATAATAGTTATGAGTGATAAGTACCGGTATGTGGCGAGGAATACGTTGACGTATGTGGACTCGAGTTCTCCGTCGTCAGTGGCGAGTGCTTCCACCAGCCGCTCGACGGTGCCAGCCTTCACAAAACGCACGCGAACCGTCTCCCACTCCAAGTGCGATATCTCATCATCTGATTCCTGAAAATGTTTGATTTAATATTTAAAACTAAAACGTTGTTTGAATATTTACTTTTATTGCTACGTGAAGTAAGAATAACATAGAACTCTCTAGGGAGGTTATTATGTAGAAGTATATGTAATTAATATCAGCGATCCGTCTCAGTTTCGTACGAATATTTAAATCTTTACTTTTTATAATATTAGTATAGATTAGTATTCCATAAGCGATATATTAATATCGTTTATAAAAAACGAATCTATTCTCAATAATAACTTCCCATACTTATAACGATGTTATTATTGAAAAAAATCTTCTTTTTATTAAAATAGAATCGCTATAACTACAATATATTTTTTGACAAACTTATTTCACTTTAATGTTGTCGTAATACAAAATATATTTTTGAGTACCGAGTCGTATTTTTTTATCATCCTTTATATACCGTTGAAGTTTATTGAACACGTTTTATGGAAGTCCACACAAAAAAATGATGGAAGAAAATAAAGAGCATTTATTCCTAACGTAGTGTCAACGTTTACATAAGCTGATAAAAGTGGCTATCTGAAATTCTAAGCATTAGATGGTACGTATAAATAATTCATGAGTTCAAATGGAGACTAACAAATGGAAGTTTTAAACAAACTTTATAGAACTGTGTTCCAAGTGTCAAACTTACAAAAGTATTTTTTTAATATTTCATTTAAAATTATTTTAATATACACGCATTTTTAAAGCCTTCATACAGAAGTAGTTTGTGTAAAAGCAACTAGATTAGTCAGATACGTCTGTTGATGAAATGTGTTTGCATATGTTTGCAAATTAGTAGCATGCTAATAGTCCTAAATAAGAACAGCAACAAAACATAGAGCATTCACAAAGTTATAAGGCATATAGCAGCCATTATAAAGTGCGTCTCATAGAAGTCGTTTACTTTTTCAACAATATACGAAATTTTGTGTGTAAACTGAGTGGGCCTTTAGGTGAAATTAACGGAACATTTATTAACGTCAAAAATGATAAAACTAGTTACTAAACAAATTGTTTTTATACTATTTTTTTATTTAAGCACAAGATTGAAATGCATTTATCCATTTATCAGTACATTAAAGATGAACGCTCACTTTGTACGCAAAGGATTTTCCACAGCTTTTTATGAATTTGTATAGCCCCACATCCACTATTCGTAAGTAACCACGCAATTTATGACTCATTGGCTGAGTAGCTCGGTGGCGTAGCGGATAAGCGCCGCGGCCAGCGATCGTTGTTGTTAAGCAACATTCGCAAGGGTAGCTCATGGGATGGGTTACCAAAAAATATTATCCCGAGCTTAGAATGGCACTTTAAGCCGGTAGTCCCGGCTGCATTTGCAATCATTAAATATCCTCCAATCCGTATTATGTCAGTATGGTGTGTCATGGCCCATCCTCCTTAACCAGATAAGGAGGGCCTGAGCCAGGGCTCAGGTCACTACAGGCAGTGGGGACTTAAAAGGGCTGATGATGACTTTAGGTGATGACGTCCACGTACGTTGTGCGAGTAGTTTCTGGGGCTCGCCTTCATTGGTCGGTCATTGTTTTATTGACCAATAAGATGAGAACGCAGAGGTCGCCCCCACTCCACATGCGGACACCATTGTACTATATAACTGAGCCATTATATGACCCAAGAATGCCACTGTAAAACTATCAAATGGTATTAAAAATCCGGATGCAGTGGATGCATCCGGATATACCATGCGTCCGTTGCGTGCTTACACAGTGGACGTTCGTCTTAAATTGAACAGCGAAGTCACATTCCCCTTGATTCCACTCTGTAATCTACGAAGACTGTCTATATTCCTTATTACAACTTAACTGACCATAACGGCACATTGTTTCGATGCACATCAGTCATTCATTAGACAAGTACACGCTCTCACATTAAAGTTTTTTTTTTGTAAACAATCTTGGACATTTTACATAATCGCAACTCAACAACTGCACGTTAGTTTCACAAACAGCCAGTGACCATGACGCGCATGAAACAGTTTAACTATTGTTACATTAGCAAGCGTTATCAACGCAAAAATAACTCGAGCATCACTACCGAACGAGGTATTATTACATACAAAACTGTAGGCACTGTACTGTGCATATCACGGTCATTTCTGACGCATTGTGAAGGCGATAAAAGACCCTCTAATTATGTGAATGGTCATATCTATGTCATTAAATTAAAACTACACACTGATAAAAAAGCTGTGAATCTAAATGTTCGCCAAAGATTTTGGAAACAACAAATTTTACCACACATAATATTGAAAGTACTGGAATGACATATAAACTGACACAAAACACGTATAAGGATATTTAAATTATAGTCTTTTGGTTAAAAGTCTGTTTCAGTATTATTTTCCCATTCGTTACAATCTCTATAATCAACTATGTATTTATTAAATACACACGGCGTCACACATTATATCCATAAAAAAACTTATGACAACTAAAACAAAAGACTGTTTCAAACCTATGTAGTTCATTTTGTGTAAAACAAAGGGCGTATATATACAGTTTTGCCCATAAAAGTTATCGTTACACGTTGATCACTGTCAGGTGTACATACACACAAAGAAAATAACTACGCATATAGAGCGTGCTAATGATGAAACTACAGTAAATATGCAAATATTTCTAATGTCCTCGAATAAAATAATACAAGGTACTATACCTACATCAGTTAAATGTTAATGTTCTTAATTAATTTTGAACTTTTTAACACAATAAGCATACGAAATCGGACATATTTGACAGCTTTAAAAAACCTGCAGTACTATTCAATTATAAAACAGTCTCGAAATCGAAGTCGAGCACAGCGCTGTTATAGCAGCTATATTAAATCAATTGAAACCTACTTTAACATGTAATAAAAGTCTTATTACATTAAAGCTTTCTGCTATCACAACACTACATTTAACGTCAAGTTCGAGGCTATTTATAATTTTTTAATCAAATATCTAGTATAGACTAGACTGTCAAAAAGCTGTGATAAATAATTTCGTAAGTATTTAAATCACTGAACTTAAATAAAGTAACTAATATACGACGGAAAATTATCGATATTATACTTGAAAGATATAAAAATCTAATCAATTTAAGTAATAGAAACAGCCTTTAAGTCTAATGTGTAATTAAATGAAAATTATAAACCTAATGAGGAATGAAGTCATTAGGGAACGCTGCAGAATGAAAATGCCATAGTTTTGATGACTTAAATACGTAGAAATTATGAATGTGACGCGCATGATGTAATGATTGATCAATCATTAGGGTGTCGGAAACTTAGCAAATGTTGATCAATCGTATCTATTTAATTCTTTAGGTAATTTTTTAGTATCGTAAATATCAATCTCTATAAATGTCAAATTTTACATTTGTGCATCAGTAGGTATCAACAGCCAAACGACGATCACTGCTGTGTATTAACTTCCTTGATTGATCTTATTAATACCTATCTTCTTTTATTCTTATTACTTATTTTAATTGCCTACTTTTTTACCTGTATCAAGGAAATCCCGATAATAATCACTTTAACTGGAAGTCTAAACTATTCAAAACCAAAATTTTCTTTTTAAAAACAAGCTTTTGTTGTAACAGGGTACTTGTAGGTAAAGACAAATCACACAAGGCCAAAATCAACAGAATAGCATTATTTAATTACAAAGACCCCAATACCACCTTCAAGCTCCATCATCAAATACTGGATATTATGTCGGACCAAAGTTCTTGTCAAGACAAATTGAACGAGTATTAAGTCGATGGGAATTCTATGTTTATTCACAGAGATCCCATGACGTAGGTCAAATTTATATAATAATAATTATTATTGAGTATCTGATATAACTAAGGTACCACGATACCCAAATCCGAGACATATAGAAAGTTCATTTTCTACATTGACTCGAACGGAAATCGAACCTCAGAGATGGGAACACCTTGAAACCAGCGTACGAACCACTCGGCTACGGAAGTCGTCGATATGGCCCAAAATACCTACGGCAAGTAAAATAAAAGCTTGTACCCAACAATATAGCCTACCCATAATTACTTTATCTGTATCAGGTAAAAAAGTTGTCAATATGACCTTTTTTCACAAAGGTTAACTTCGAATTTTTCTACTATACATTTTTATGAAGAAATCATCAGTGATGAGTTTTTTCAGCCCTTTTTGATCCTATGAAATTCGTATTTAAGCTTTAGTTTTCAAATAGTTAGCACAAAATTATAAAGAGATAATACTCACACTGGAGGCGCTCCGCGTGGGCCGGTGGTAGCGCACCTTCTTGAGGTACACCGTGTATATGGCGCCGTCGACGCGCTCCTCGCCCCACAACCGCCATGTCGGCTGCTGGAACACACCACCATCAGGTCAACACAAATGACGTCACTAGCGCGTAATGATCTACAGTAGCATGACGAGCTCGAGAACGTTTCTTCTCCACCTAAATGTCACTATTCTCGGGTGCGCTCATACGATATCTCACTCTTGACCGAAGAAAAGCGACATTCGGTGTAGACAAAGCTTTCTCGAGTCTGTAATGCTACGCTTGCTGTAGCTCTAAACTAGGGGTCAATAACCCCGCGGCGATAAATCAGCTATTATTAAGGGGTAACAAAGGGTAAAAGTTTCATAGAAATGTTTTTTTTTTTAATGGAACAATGCCTAATCGGAATGGCTTGAGATAAAATGTATCATCGTTAACTCTGATCCTCTAATTTGCTTGTAATACGAACAGTATAGGTTTATTTCTAATAATGTTTTAGTGTTTACTACCTATAAAATATATTTTAACAAATATTTTTTTCGCCAATATTTTCGTCAACTTAGGTGCCACTTGCCGTAACTTATAATCAATTAATTAACCTGATTACGCATCCAACTTACTAATTACTAAGCATCTGATGTACATTTAATTCTATTCAATTGTTTACAGATAATTCATGGTTTTTAAAAACAAGTTATATGTTATCTTACGTAGGGTACGTACTTTGGATACGCAAAATTTTTGCTGAGAAGTTATCACGATATTATTTTATTATAATAATTACTCTTATAATCTTAATGTTAAATAACATTATTTGGCATTATCATTATTATTAACTCTTGATCAAGAACAAAATTTCCCACATCTCAGTTATAGTACCATACATTGAGAATGATGCACTACATCGTCCGCAAAGTGTGGAATTCAATTGCTTTAATAGTAATAATGAACATATCCGCAATTTCACACAATGTGTTGCCGAAGTTATTGTTTCATAGTTGTTTTATCCAAATTCCTAACTTAGTTAAGCTTCTATACTATAAAAAAAATATGTGTATTGCTGAAGCGTAACTATCTAACTTATCTCATTATTACAATGTAATAATTGCCGATGGTGACGCATGACTAATACAATATCAGTTATTCATGGCCTATACATTCAAAGCTAACAAATAATGGGAATTATATCATATAGAACTAAACGACCTAGTGTAAACTTACATAATCATCGTCTACGGTAACACCGAATAGTACGGGCTCTGCCTTGTTGATGCCGCAAATCTTCCACATGGCCCATGTCTAACGTCACGTGACGTCACTACCTCTCAGCTGAGCATCGCGCCCACTTTCACTAGCTGGCACGCATGCAAATACCACAGATCTCTTAATTGGATCAATCGACGAGAAGAGTGTAAATGCACCTTCCTGACTTGCGTGACGGAGAAATCGCGCACACTAGGACGCCGACACACTTATGATGGACATCCGGTTTAGAATATTATAATGATTGAGACGCAACGAAGGAAACCTATCACCTTTAATCGATGCACTATATACAAACGATTAGCTCTCACCCCTGCATAAATTTCTATGTTCTCGTTATGGACGATGCGGTCAATTAACTTCTGCAATACCGTCACATTTTCACTGTAGAATTACAAAACCCTGTATTTGCATATCACGCACTGAGCGTCTCAGTCATCGCTGTCACAACTTTCACGATATAATCGGTGATGCAATTTATTATCACTTATTATTACCTTTCTTAATAGATACTTATTTAAAGATTTTATATATTGCTCTAGTGATTAAAAACGCCGTTGCAGCGGCACGGATCCAACACGACTGCTCTCTCGTGCGAGAGATCGCGTGAAAAACTCCGATAGAGCACGTCAATGAATGTACCAGGAGCAGGTGGCAACATCATAACAAACCGCGTGCCTGTACGTTTGTACAGTTATCTTAAATTCACACGTGAATAAACGATTCAAATCATTTTAACTTAATCATCAATTCTTCCCTTTTCTAAATAATTTAACAATCTTCAAAGGTTTAACAATCTGTTGATAATCGAAACACAGTCCGATAATAGGGCATACACGACTATAGTTTTTAAAACATCTTATAGGTACGTTGTTCTGACCCAAATTAAGTAACTAATGCAATTGTAGTAAGGTAATCTGAAAGAGCAAAGGTAACACACCACCCAGACACGAGGCAATATTAAAAAGCCATAATTTTAAATTGTATTTTAATTTTATATTACACCTTGGATATTTTGTGATAGCCATTGGATATGCTTTGTTGTTGTAACCAGTAGCGGCGTTAGGGTAGGGCGCGGTTGGGCGACCGCCCAGGGGCGCCGGACCAAAAGGGGCGCCGCAGGGCGCGGCGCCCAATATTCGTCTGGCGCTTCTTTCTGATTCTGTACAATGAGGAAATATTTAAAAAAATTAAAGCACTACAAAAGTACCTCCACTAGATGGCGACTCTAGCAAAAGTTGATTTTTGCAGGAAACGAATGGAAACAAAGACAGTCATTTCCGTTCCTTTTAGGTAACATATTAAAAAACTGAAATTTTAACTGTTCGAAACTTAGATAACAATACAAATACGAAAAAGTACAAATAGAATATGAGTTGTTAATTGAATTTTGAAAACTAATTTACTTTTAAACATGAAAGAAAACTGGAAGTGTTGTCATGGAGAAATCAAGACCATACCGTAGCAACATCTAGTTTGATTTCGGGAACTAATGTTTTTTTCTAATACTTACTCATTTCCCACAGACAAAGATTATATATATATTGTTCCCTCGCTCATTGAACAAGGCCTACTGGGTCGGCGAAAAAAGACAAGAACCGTGAGGATGTTTTTTTGTTTTCAAGTTGCCTCACTTTCAGCATGAATTGAAAGGAAACTTAACAAGAAAAATATTATATTATGGCAAAACAGAACAACATACCGATTACCAATATGAAGATATGTATTTTATATTTTATTAGGTAAGATGACGTTCATTGGCGGGCATTATCGCTCGGTCATTTAAGAAAATTTTCGTTTGAGCATGTTTAAACATTAGCTGAAGCTAAAATACTGCAATACAAATGAATGCATCGGCAGTGGAGCCTCTGTCTGGCAGGTCAGATGGAATAGCTACTCAAGAGATTGTGGATGAAAAATCCCGAAGTGAGGGAGCAAGTAGTGCTACGATTACAGATGCTGATCAGGATAAATCTGTTATTGATGTATAACAAATACATGTACTAGATGATGTTGATACTGTTGTCCCAAATATAGCGGATCCAGCTACTTGGCCACTTATTCGAAATAGCAAAATAATTGATCATATAATAAGAAGTGGCAAACTCACTGTCACAAAGTTACAACAATTACACAAAGTTATACATAACAATTAAGTGACACCCTGTTAGGGGGTGTTACAAGTGTAAAGAGTCTGGACCCAATTTCAATAATTTACCTGTTATTTTAACATCTTATATACTTTAAGTATTAGGGAATATGTAGTATAGAAAGCAAAAATTAATCTGTACTTACCTTATGATGTGATCCGTCAAAATGAAACAGCTACTTATACACTATTTATATATCTATTTTTTTAATAAAACTAATGTCACTATATAGTTGGAACAAGAGCATCGTAACGTAGCGTTAAACGTTTGATTACTGTGTTTGTTTGTTTTATAATAATCGAATAATTGTTTTAAGAGCGTCCACTTATGTCAAGCATGAATGATTGTTGATGTTGAGCAGAACACCTACTTCGTCAAAAATTAAAAGAGATAGATCTCGGGAATCCCCGATTATAGAAAAACACATTGTTTCTGTATTGTCGGAAAGTCGGGGATTCCCGAGAAATTAAACCGATTGAACACTAAGTTCCATTCTAATGCTGCCAACTTAACAATCTACCTAAATTTAGGGAAAATTACAAGTAAGTAGGCCGGGTCGGTGGCCTAGTGGATAAGCGCCGCGGCCCGCGATCGTAGTCGTTAAGCAACTTTCGCAAGGGTCGGTCACGGGATGGGTGACCAAAAAATTATTATCTCGAGCTACTCCGTGCTTCGGAAGGCACGTTAAGCCGTTGGTCCCGGCTGCATTTGCAGTCGTCAATACCCTCCAATCCGCATTGGGCCAGCGTGGAGGGTCATGGCCCATCCTCCTTAACCATCCATAAGGAAGGCCTGAGCCCCTGCAGTGGGGACGTAAAAGGGCTGTTGAATTGATATAATTGAATAAGGCCGGGTCGGCGAAAAAAGACAAGTAACTGATTTGTAGTATGTAGTAGTAATTGAATTGCTATTTGGGGGCGCCGAAGAAATTTTGCCCAGGGCGCTAGTAGTGCTAAAACCGGCACTGGTTGTAACATACATATTTTTTACTTCATTGAGCTAAAAACTTTGTATAATATAAAAAAAATCTTTGCGGCCTTTTCCCTACCCTATTTATCGAAACCAACAATTTCATGTATTCCATTTAGTGATTATCATTAAAACTACTATCTATCGAATAAATAAAAATCCTACGTAGTTTTATTCATACATAGGTAGAGAAGTACTATAGCGAATTTAATAAGACAATCCTACGAACTGTTCATCATTACGTATAATAAGATCATTTTACCAACGCGAAATAGGCGAGGCGGCTCCTAACTGCCGCAATTTGTTACCGTCGCCCTAATATTTACGTAATGAAATGTGTTTCCGCTTCCGACCGTACTCACATCTAACGCTCAGCTATGTCCACTAATAACTTTTTACCCGTAAAGTAACACCCTCATCACCATTGACATATCGTCTTGATTTAAATATAATGCTTATAGTTTCATCTCTCTTTTAAAACGGAATCTAGTCATTATTTAACCATTGAGATTAAATAAAAAGTTTATAGTTAACTAACAGATGATTTTTGGACACGACTTCGACTTTCAATGGAGATCTTACTCTACAACCTTTCAACTCCTTTGTTCGCGATAAAATTATACTTTCCAAATGTCAACTCTATCTCCGTGCCAAATTTCAACAAAATTGGTTCACTGGTATAGGCGTGAAACCATAACACA